TTAGGAAATGTTAGGTCTTCATGCTTTCTTCATTTTGATGGGATTTCTTGGTGAAAATTAGTTGCTTTTATGGGATTTATGGATGCGAGTTAGTGAATAAATAACAACTCTAGGAACATTTCCATAAATAAAGGAATGCTTTACAAACAGATCACCTATAGCAGAAAGCTTGTCTAAATGATGTTTTTGCACAGGTTATATTATAGATATATGCACATGTTAAAAAAGCATTTAATCTGATTCTTGTAGTGGGTTTTCAGCAGGTGGAAAAGGCAAAGCAAGATGATGCACTATCTGATCTAAATAATCTCTTGGGGGAGCTCAAGGAAATGGCCATTGACATGGGATCTGAAATTGAAAGCTATGATCAAGTTTGAATTCCCTTCAAAACAATCATTTCAATTGCTTACTTTTTTTTGTCTTTACCCTTCTCAAGTTTCAAACATAGTTGATTAGCTATAGTCCTTTTCTCTACCAATTAAGTGAGATCTCACACTCACCTTTTCCCCTTGTATCGAGCCCGCCCTCATGTGTGCTCAACTTAACATGAGAAATGTTCATTTACAATGCTTGCAAGGGGAATAAAGCCTTGGACCATCTTCAGGATGATGTTGATGAGCTGAACTACAGAGTAAAGGGTGCCAATCTACATAGCCACCGTTTGCTTGGGAAGTAGAGTGATATTGACATTTAGTGTATGATGTTCCCGTTCCTATCCTGAATTATAATGTAGTGCCTGTGATCCTCAAATGACATTAGTTTTACTCCATTAAACAATTCAAACTTAACTCTATGCAGGAGCGGGTAAAATTTCTTGTCTAAAAATAATCTAAAAGCCAAGTATAAGACATGTATATATTCAAAAGAAAGTGTAAAACATAGTAGACTGAATTCGATCACTCCAAAGTTAGAAATAATAAAAAATATTTCCGTCTTCATATTATTACAAATATATTAAGATATTCAAATATGCTAAAACAAATGAGTAAAGGGATAATAAGAGGAACATCTAAGGGTTCTGTTGTTTTCAATTGTAAATCTCATAAATCTTGGAGGTAAAAAATTTATCTATTCTTACCAGGAGGAGCAGTAGGGGGAGTGCAGTACATATAAAAGAGTATACTTTGTAATCCAATGCATTTTATGCATTTGTGGATTTAATTAGTTATGGAATGTAATCCAGTGCTCCTTTGTAATTTGCATTATTCAGTGCTGCTACAAATGTTATTTTCCATCCTTATAATTGTGACTAAGATGTTGAGGAAAGATATTTTAACCCTGCAAATCTTAAGTGCACTTGCATTGTTTATGTTTTCTTTTAAGCATACACTTGAAATATTATCGAAGTTGATTTTTATACTTTTTTTGAAACTGATTAGATAGGTTTGGAAGTTTGTGTGTAAAGGGAAGTGTTAGTGATTGGTGATCTCATTGCTAAATATCACACCTTTTTGCCGGGCAAAAGTAACTATCATAGACAAAGTCAAAACAGGAAGTTTCATTACTTCCCTTCTAGGCTTCTATGTGCCTATGTGCCTGTATAGAACTCCATTGCGGTAAAGATTACACAATACATTGTGTTGGGCATTGTCCTACACGCGCAACGCGCGTCGAGAAACTAGTCTTTAAATAAGTCTCATATTTCAGCTCCAAGCTTCTTGAATCTATCTGCAATAGTGAAAGCAAATTCAAAACAATCTGAAAGCATTGATCATTGAAAAACATGATTAGCAATAAGAAACTTATATAAGACAACCACACTATTCAATTCAGTTCATGTTTCTCTGAGTTATTGATTGTTAAAATTTCCAAATTAGCACTCCAAAATTCAGATATACAAACATTATCCTGACCAAAATTCACAGATATATTTCCGTGTTACAACAAAAATCATTTTGTGACCGCTTGAGTGCCCAAATATCAATAACAAAATTTTGAATAAAAAATATAACAAGATTTCTGACCAAAATGAAAGTTTACTTGACTTATGAAGTAAATATTCTATATCTCAATTCACTCTATCCTTTGAGTGATAACCTAATTAAACATGTAAATTTTCTTTTTAGTCACTTAAGAGGTAACAAAGGGTAGATGGAACTTCAAACAATCGAATGCCTTTTTATTGTTCAATGTTTTAATCTAGTTTGCTCAAAAAACTGAGGAGGAATTAAGCCACACAATCACAGTGGTAAACAACTTCCATTAAGAGATTGGCCAAGTTTTTATTTGAATAAAACTATTTTAAATAACAGGGACCTTTGTGATTCACAATGAGACAATTTTTTGTGAAAATTTAATGTGAATGACCGAAACATGGCTATTTGCTAACAGAGAATGTTCATGTTACATAACTTTGTTGGCCTATTTGTATCTGATGGTTACAGTGCAACTGGTTCAGAAACAAATAAGGTACTCAATTTTTTCATATTCATTCTGACTCTATTGCAAACATACTAAAGGAGACAAGGAGAAACCTTATAGACTATCAAGCACAAACAATGGTATGCCTACACATATGAGTTATTTATTAAAACTTTGTGCTATTTATTAAATTGCAAGCATCAGTAGTAGTAGTAGTAATAATAACAATAAAAAAACTAATACTTATACTAATAGTAATAGTAATAATAACAGAAAATCTAATTTTTAATTTAGAATAAGAAATCGGTAGATGTGAAATGTGAAAGGTAGATCTGGGGGTTTTGTTTGAAGCACTTATATCTTAAATTTAAAAAAGACACCTTAAAAACATGTGATGTGTGTCGTTAGCCCATTTTCGCGAATGTTATCAAAACTTAGGCATGGCTAGCTATTTCCCTGCACCTTCGCATGTCTCACACATGTATTTTTTTACCACTTTAGAAGTGTGATTGGATCCTAGATCCCAGTGGATCTGGTCACCAGCAGTAGAATAGTGCATATGCAGATGTTTAACATTTACTACCTAGGAATGTAAATATTCTTGATGTTGCATATAAGTATATAGCTAAAGTTTAAAAAGGCATTTCGCATTTGTGAGGCTAGGCGTCCTCAATGCGTTTGAGGCTTAAGCCTCAAACATTAATTGTAAGGAACTTTGTTTAATTTATAGTTCTTTAGTTCTTTCTATCCGTGCAATATAGGACAAAATATCACATATCTTATTGATAATGCAAAGCAACAAATTTATGGCACTAAACAATTACGTAAAAACTATTTGATGGCAAACCCAATGACCTTAAAATTTTTATATGAACATTTGTGCAAACACATAACAATCAAAGTAAAAGTGGATGTAAGAAAATGAATTTGAAAACAAAGAATGAAGACCAGCACATGAAGTGAATGGGCTCTAATTAAGCAGAAACAGGTATAATTATAAGAGAGTGAAGAACTTACATGATCATGGGACTGAAAGAAACCCCAAATTTGTTCAGTTTGCAATGGGGTGCTAGGCAACCGTGGTCGTGTGCCAATGGAAAAGAAAATGAGCAAGCCTTCAAATATGGTTGAAGGTGAGTTGCAAGCATTATAAGTAAACAGATGTGGTGGTCTAGTGGAATACAGATGCAAGCTACAAAGAATTGAGGGGGATGTGCGGTGGACTGGTGGTTATAAGCTACTCCGTATAATACTAACTTAAATGGTTGAGTTAACGGGGGTAAAGGTTTAGACGGTAATAAAGGTAAAGAAGCCAAAGGTAGAAATAGGGTTCCACTTTTTAATAACAATGTATAGTACAACATCACATGCACAAAGCATATTGACATAATTTAAGGACATCAACCCCTATTCATAATTATAATTTTGTTAGATAACCGACGTACTTAAGTGCAATTAAAAAAATTATTATGCGAATAAGTTAGGCATTGATCGTGACAACATACTCTTATCCAACTGGTTTAAAAGTGTAGGTACCGGTATACTATAATGTAATAAATTGACAATAGAATTTTCCCTTTAAGAATTATCATTTCAATCCCTTTAATAAATTGACATTATGTTAAGAATTGCCGACAGCCGTCTGGCGGAGGAGTGCAAGTCATGGCGCAAGGATCACCCCCATGTTCGACCCCTCTCTTCTTCTCTCCCGCTCACTGTGTTGGTTGATATTACTCTCTAGACTATTTTTCTTGTCCTCAAATTCTTTGGTTTTCAGGGCTTTGTGGCTAAGCCAGAGACGCGAGAAGATGGTACAGTTAAAATGATGGTGTGGCATTGCACTGTCCCCGGAAAGGTTGGGGTACGTCTTCAACATTACAGTCTTACCTCGAAGTAGCGTTTATTGAATCCACCATGCAAAATTAGATTCAAACTGGTTTTCTCCTTTAATTCAAAGTTATGTTTATGTGTGTGTGTGTGTCCTGATGTTGCTTGTCTTTGTACTGAGTTACATGGAATTATTTTGACCTGCGATCGTGATATGTATGGTGGTAGCGGTTTATGGCGGATTGACGGCCAACAAAAGTCCAGCATATTCACTGCGGCGGATGATTTTACAGTTGATGGTGGCTAACGAATAAATAAAAGTCCAGATTTTCTTATATAACTATTTTTACCTAAATGCTGATAATTGGGTGTTTAAATAACTACCGCATGATTAACATATTACAACTATAAAAAAATTACGTAGTATGAAATAAATAATTTTTTGATAACATCTAATTCAACATTAGTACATTATCAATATTCAGTGGCGGAACTAGGGGCAGGCTGGTGCCAGCGCCCCCCGTTTGTCGGAATAGCTTAGGTAATATTTTCATTGCGCCCCTGAGCCTTGGAGATCATCGTCTTCTTCCATGGTTTGCTAACTGTCATGTTTCTTGCGACTGTATAAAGTACGGAGCAGTATCATGTATATATGTTTTGTTTTGTCCTTTAGTGCAACGACGATGTTTTGCTTAGCAATAGAAGTAACACATAAAATACATTTTGGATGGCCCGCCAACTCAACAACAACATCCAAGCCTTAATTCCAAAAGATTTTGAGGACGGCCCACCGACCCAATTCCAAATCACCAAATTAATCAAAGCTATAACCCACTATCCCTTAGTATTAGTGAATCGTGAGTGACGATAGAAAAGTCAAACCAACTATCAAAGAGCTAACTTCAATGTTTTTTAATTAATTAAAATATACGGCTACGTATATTGTAGAAAACAACTGTTACCATGTATATAATTCTCCCCTTAACATTTTATTTGTGTCACTTTCCTTTGTCACGTTGTATTAAAATAAATGTCTCACTTCTCCTTTCGGAACAATACTCTAAAAACAACTACAGTGCCCGCTACAATACCACTACAGTATAACTACTGTAGTGCCGCAAAGACTCTCACCAACAGTGGGATAAGTGATAGTGACAGTTGGGATGTTGGTGTTGGAGAGAGAATCACGGTTTGGGATAATTTAGAATACTTTTTTATTGGAATGAAATTTTCTGGTCTAGTATGAGTTGATATGGTAGATGTATATTTTATGTACTTTTTTGCAATTATCGAAGTGTAGCCTGGTCTAGCCTGTTTAAATCTGGACTGGTCTTAGACAGAAATCAATCCAATTAAAAACATCTTCAGTCCTATTTTGATCACTGTTTTTGAAATATTGATCTTGTTTTTGGCTATCAAAAAGCTAAGGGTTATGTGTTGGTCATTCTTTTTAGTTATTGATGGGACTTCAATTTCTAATTAATCGTATTATACAATTATTTTAAATGCAAATCGCTTATGAAATATAATTACTCGGATAGTATTGAGGGTTTGTTAGGACTGTGTGATATGAAAGGTAAAAATGTGAAGTTAATGTTGGTTTTGCTAAACTCGTGAGCAATACATCATTGTAAGTCGATGAGAATTAACTACGTGTTTCACTTCTATCCCTATTAGAAGGATGTATGTTTAAAAAATACAAGCTTTTCTATTAGCAAATATAGTTGCATGAGATAAGGCAGGTAGCTCATGAGGTGTTTGATACTGGGGACTACCGAAAAGAGGTGGCTCAATTGTTATTTGATTTTTACACTTCCAATTTATTGAGATACGTAAGGTAGGTAGCTCGTGATCGATTTGGTATTAGCTGCTACTAATTATCTTGTATTTCTCAACTGATTTTAAGTATCTCTTACTCAATGGAGTACATATCTGATTGCGTGCTGCTCAAAGATCTATACGAGACCTTTTTTGCATGGAGAAATTGCATAGGCAGCCTTGTAAAGCATTATGATGATATACTTAGGTACCTGGATCTGAATGATTGATAATTATTCAGCTAGCAGACAATTTAGGCAGGTGGTCATTACCCTTTGACAATGCACTTCGGTGGAGACTACCCACTCAAACCGCCAAAGTGAAAATTCCCCGTAGGATTCTTCCACCCGAACATCTATCCTTTTGGCACAGTTTTCCTATGTGTCCTCGATGAAGAGACTGTATGTACATTGCTTGCTTGTTCTGCATGATCTAATTCAAACTTGGAGTCCTTTTTTTCTTTCCCAAAAAAGTAGTGATTGTAAGTTTTACTACTATACCTCCAGTGTCGGATTACAGTATGTGAAGCAAATTCTGGTTGGCATCCAGGATTTGTTAGATGAGACAAATGCACCGCAACCTGTTCAAATTGAAGTGAATCGTCTCTATATTCAGGTAAGTGGGTTGTGGGATTGTGGGAACAAACTCGAATACAAAAGCAGTTCCTCTTGCTGGGATCTGCGGCGAACTCTGGCTGAGGGCGAAAATTCTGGCGAGGGCGGCTCCTGTCCAGGGCTTTGGCAATCCGCCCCTTTTGTTTTAGGTTCGAATCGAGAAGCAAAATTGAGCCCGTTCAGGCAGCTTCTTCCTTCGTACTGAAGGTCCCAAGCCAAACACGGCTGACCGGCTGTTCTGCTTGGATTTCCGGCGAACTGCAACAATAACTCAGGTGACAGCTGCTTGTCTCCTCATGCCAAAGGAAAGAAAGAAAGAAAGAGCAATAGAAAAAGAAAAAAGAAAAACAAAGACAAAGAGGAGTGATCATCGGGCATTGATGGGAAGATGGAGGAAGTCTGGGAGGATGGGGGACCAAAAGAGAAAGAGAAAAGCAAAAAAAACGAAATAGGACTAAAACAGTTTGAAAATTCCAAAATAGGACTGCCATATTTTTTATTCCCAAAATAGGAGTAATTACTGTCAAGTTTGGAAAATACTGCCATGTTTGAAGTCTGGTACTGCCAAAACATGACAGTAATTAGTATTATTTTAGAAATAAAAACATGACAGTTCTATTTTGGAATTTCCAAATATTTTTAGTCCTCCTTAATATATCTTTTGAGTAAAGGGTCAGTTTGGTCCTCGAAGTTGCAAAAAAGGGGTCAAATAAGTCCTTATATAGAAGATTCTGTCCGGACGTGCCATTTGAGGTGGCTCCCGGTGGAATTTTTTGATAAAATTTTTTGAGCATCTTAATCATTAAGTCTAGTTTACTCATACCAAATTTCAGCTAACAATTCAATCGGGGAGACATTCAAATGAATTCTTAAAGATAACTGCGTTTTTAACGGCACAGTTGTCTTCAAGAATTCATTTGAATGTCTTCCCGATTGAATTTTTATTTGAAATTTGGTATGAGTAAACTAGACTTAATGAATAAGATGCTCAAAAAATTTCATCAAAAAATTCCACCGGGAGCCACCTCAAATGGCACGTCCGGACAGAATTTTCTATATAAGGACTTATTTGACCCCTTTTTTGCAACTTCGAGGACCACCCTTATCCCTATATCTTTTTATAAAGTTCCGGAGTTTAATGGACAGTAACATTTTCTGAATAAATTATGGACTGCATATGTCGCCTGATGCCTTCCCCCATCTAATTTAGAGAGCTGTTCGTATCGTGGTCGCCTAGGTGGCGCCTTTGCTGCGGAGGAGTAAAATCCCCTGGAGTGTGTCCGCCTGCGGCTTTTGTATGCGTACATATTATATCACTTTTATTCGTCAAAGGGCAACTGCATTATGTAAGAATTTTAAACCTTTTTCTCATTGTCTGATGTTATAGGGAGTACAAGTTTAGTTCCATTTCTTCTTTCCTTTCCATTTTTTAATGTTTGAAATTTCGGTTATTGTTGCTTATTCTGATTATTGGAGTATTTCCTGAGCAGGGTAGCTGTGAATTTGAAACCTAGGGTTCCTGAAGACATTGATGGGGTTACACTTGATCCACAACCCGATTGGAGCTTTGATGCTCTGTTATTGGAGCTCAGTTCAATTGAAAGGAAGGTTGCTGCATCTCCAAAGTTTCCGGCATATACCAAGATATGTTCTCGGTCTGTATCTCTTTAATTCTCTATCATGAATCAGTGGGTGGCTATTATATAATTGTATCGATTAGCCATTTGATATTTTGATGTATATATTGCTTTGCTTTCTGATATTTATAGGGATCGTTCTGCTTCAAAGAGGGGTGCTCTGCGGCAGGGTTTTGTTATGCGGGTGACAGAGACATTAAGTGATTGTGAAGATGAGGTATCTGAACAATCTGTCACTCCAGGCATGCATATTACTTGTGATGACCTTTATGCAAGGTATCTAGATGCTGATTGTGTCGGATCATGTAATCAATAATGAGAAACATCATGCATATTACATTTAAAAAATTCATAGGAGAAATGTAAGGCTCATTGTCCGAAGGAATGACTGAGATACATAAGGCACACCTACAATATGATATTTAATTATTCATGCTTGTGATCCTTTTAACAGTCTCTGGCGTTTCACAATTCTGAGGCTGTTTGTCTTCTAAAATCTGAATAGAGTTACAATAAATTACTACTATTACTCTAATACTATTGAGTTTGAACTACTTTGTTCATTGTTTGATTGTTGTTTGTTCTCAACTCTCTCAAACTGAAAACATTGCGTATTTCAGTGATGGTCAAATATCTGAAGACGAGGCATCTATTGAAGTAGATCAGCATCTAATGGAAAAAGTTGGGTTGGTGGAAGGCGCTTTGTCTGAGCTAACTTATGAGCATCGTCTTAACGTTATGGTTGGTGAATTTATTAATTGTATAATGGTTTTCTATTTCCTCCATTTTGTAAAAGCTTTGGGGTTTTAAAACAGAGAATAAGTGTTCTATTCCCAAAGTAATCCATTTTTCTCTTAAATGAAAACAGTTTCTTTGACAATCAGGTGGTTTGTGAAATGCATACAGCATATACTCTGTTTTGCAGGCTACTGCTTTTATCTATATGTGTATGAACACGTTCCTTTTTATTAACAGGAAAATGTGAGAAACAAAATATCAGAACTGGAAACAGCTCTGTTGGATGAGCACCATATATTTTCATCTAAGCTCCAATTTGTTGCGAAAGATTCTGAAGCACTATCGGAAATGGATCGAAGGCTTGGCCTGCAGTATCAGCGCAAAATGTAAGGTTCTACTCCTAATAAATCATGAATGATAGCATGTAAAGTAAATGCATTTCAAGCATATTCAGAAAATGAGCCGTCGTTTGTTATAATTCAAACAGTCAATCACATGATGCTCTAAATGACTTTCATTCATCATCATCATTCATCAACATCATTACGCCAGTGCCGCAAAGGCTCCCACCTATGGTGGGGTAAGGGGGGGTCGGATGTACGCAGTCTTACCCCTGTACTAAACCGTACTAAACCACATGGAGATTGTTTCCGGATGATCCATAGTGAAAATCGCGTCCAAAATTGCATGGACCGACTGCTGCTTCATAACAAAGAAGCACAGATAGTTTAGTGAGCCAATTTGCTCTATTCCATAATATTCTCAAGCCAAAAAATAGTGAATCTTTGGGTCCATTACAAAAGATGGAAAATCTAAATGACTTTCATTATTTGGTTATATTTTGATACATGATGCTTGTAAACTCTTAGAGGGTAGTTTATATCCTCTTCAGATACACTTCAAAAGCCTCTAGGAAACTCTAAAGAAAAATTTATTTCAACTGTTTTTCATTTAAAAATGACATTTTCTCATGTGACGTTTCGTGTTTCAAGTTCCAGCAATTTTATACTTACAGTAGTTGTTCTTTCAGGTGAACCTAACTGCCTAGGAGGAATTTAGTCATGCTAACTTTGATTTTGGCTCTTAGATCACTTCAATGGTTCAGATTCATTTGCTTATTTGTATAAAACTATGAACTATTAGTCTCACAGTTGAATCTTTAGTTTATTCTAAGGTAAATCTTAGAAATGCAGTTTGTCTCGTTTAAAATTTGTCTAATAGGTAAGATTATTTCATGATTTCACCTTTAAATATGTAGTTATCTTCAGTAAATTTGAATTGATGGCATGATCTGATGGTTGGTTTCCTTAATTTATATCAATGAGTGACAAAGTCTGAATTGTTTAATTAACTTTTGGTCAAGACCAAAACTAGCGTTATGGGAACTTGGTCATGCGTGTCTGTCTCCGTGTCCATCTCTGTCTCCCTGCTTCTCTATAAAACTATATATATAGTTATAAATAATTATATACGTACACAATACACAAATACATACATATATATATATATATACATCAGTAACTATTTTTTTTTATCTTATTCCTTCTGTCTTTTCTAGCATGTTAGTGCTCTAATATGATCTAGGTAGTCTTGACTTTTATTGAATTACGGTAGTGCAGAAGCGCTTGATGATCACTTGATATCTGTACAAAGGGATCATGAACATAGATCCCAACTTGAAGAAAGGAGAATAAGAGATGATGCAGCTCGTGAAGAGGCTAAAAGAAGAGAGAAGGGTTTTCTGGAAGAGAAAGCCATGCTAGAAAAAATTAGAACAGAGCCAGAGGTTAGTTTTTGTTTCACTCAATGTCTTCATTTCCTTATATATATGCATATGCATATGCATATGCATTTGCATTTGCATTTACATTTGCATTTGCATTTGCATAGCATATGTATAAATATATATACTCCCTCCGTATTTTAAAGTTTGCTACACTTTCCTTTTTTGGATGTATACAAAAGTTTGCTACATTTTCCTTTTTTGTTAAGTTTTTTCCTTTAAAAATACTCAATTACTCTTACTTTTTCTACTTTTTATCTTCTCTTTCATACTTTTACACCTTCTCTCCTATTATTTCTCCCTTAAATGTTGTGCCCAAACCTAATGTAGAGAACTTCAAAATACGGAGGGAGTAATATACAATTTGGAAATGTATTTGTAATTTTGTATATGAAATCCTTCAATGTTTGTCTCTTGTATGCTTTCCCAAAATCTTAAGTTAATTCTTATATTTATTGTTTTAATTGTCATAATGTATTACTTTGTTTTCAATGTATCCATTATACACACAAGCATATGCAGCTTGGCTTAAATAAGTTGATTTTTTGAGAAAAATCTGATCTTATTGTCTTGATTCTTAATCTGAGAAGTGGAAGGATGAGATTATTTTTAAAAGATGATATGTGGGGAAATTGTAATGTAAAACCCGGTGTCATTTTAGTTAAATAACTTAAACCCTAAACCTTAAACCCTAAATTCAAAATATTGAGTGGGACAGAGGTAACATGTAGTAGCGCAGTATTATGTATATAAAGATACATTTCACAAAAATAGATCGAGTTGATGTTGGGTGGGAAATTAGAATAGTAAAAACTGTGGTTGAGGTTTGTGCAGAGGAGAGACAAATGAACAGAGCCACAAATTCATTGTTTTAAAAGGAAAGTGACCAAGTTTTTTGGGACAAACAAAAAATGAACGTTGGCAAAGTCCAATGGGACGGAGTGAGTATATAAAAATGTACCATCATTTGGAACTGGGAAAACTGATATAGGCCACCAATTTCTTGAGTGATGAAGAATAGATTTATTCTCACTTCTCTTCTAAACCACCCATGACCCATCTCACTAGAATCAGATATTGTCTCTGTATATGTGTGTGTATAAAAACATGTTGGCACACATGCTGAAAATCTGTTAATGGCCGAAGTCTAAAAAGAGGAGTGCCTTCCCAATCATAGAGCAAACCTCACTTAATATTATATGTTAGATCCTTATAGCTATTGCAAGTAGTAAAGGATTTATAATTTAACCCAAGAGCTAATGAGAGGACAACACAATCTCCTTCCCTCATAAATTGCTGTATTTGAGCTTTTAGTGTTTATACAAGATCTTTGCCATCACTGGTGAGTCCCTTAAATGTCAGAGGTGAAGGTTTTCCTTTGAAGTCATGTAATAGTGTAATGGCATCAATCTCCCCAACAAATTTTGAATATCCTGTTTGGTTGCACCATTATAGCCTTGTAGGGACTTGCATAGAGCTTTAGATTTTGCCTGTAGAACTGTGTCTGCCTGGATGGGGAAAGTAGCAGTGCTAACAAACTGCTCATGATGATCCCTAATGTGAGTGTGTTTCTGGATGTAAGTGTGTATAAAAGCTCACCTAGTTCACTATAGCAGTCATAATGTCACGTTCTGTATAATACCATTACTGTAGGGCTTATAGTTATTTTATTCTTCTAGAGATGTTCTACCTTTTTGAGTAAGAGGGCTTGAAAAACTTGAGATTTGAAGATCCAGTGGTTGCTGAATATGCACCACTCGCTGGAGGGGCTGGTTTTCATTGCACCATACAAAACATACAAGTAAATATATCATATATGTACTTGTAGGCCACTCCTATATCAACCTAAGTATATTAGCCTTAGAGTACAACAAAATCAATAATACGGGCGCACTGGCTAGATCAGTGTTGTGGTCTTGACAGAAAATGAACAAAATAGAATCATTGGGATTCGTTTGTACTCATGTATTTCTTTTTGCTATCAGGTACAGCCTAAGGTAATAGAGGCTGTTGGAATGAAAAAGGAAAAAACAGCAGAACTGGAAGCTCAGAGAAAAGACGTCGAAGAGGCTGCAGAGGAGAATTCCTCTGAGAATGTTAAGAATATTGCTACTGGCCATCACAAGGTCTCAGAGCAGACAGCGGAGTTTGGACAGGATGTGCATAATTCATCACAATCAGCAGGTGCATTTGAAAGAAATGTTTGAAAGGGCTAAGGGTCTAGTCTTTGACATAAACCGTAGTGACTTGGCACATTGATAATAAAGTTTAACCTCAATTTATACTATATAGGATTATAGGCTCATATATCATTCTTTGTTTTTGTAGGCTTGAAAAATTCAGGATTTGAAGATTCAGTAGGCAAGGTTGTCAAACTCGATATTCTAGGTAAACTCTTGGAGGCTACCTAAATCTGTGAACAGCATACCAACTAGAGTAACATTGAAGTATATATTAATAACACACATCCATCAAGGCATCAAGTAAAATATGTCCAACACAAGAGTTATTTAACATTTCAATGGCACAATAAATAAAGTAGCAATGGGCGAAGCTAAGGATGGGCCACAATGGTCCCTTGCCCACCCAAATATGGTCTAGGGATATATGTTAGTAAGTATCTCGGTGCATTATTGTATTAGAAGTTACTTGAAGTGAGAGCTAAGGAGGGGCCACAATGCTAAGTAGGTAATAAGCCAACATGTTTAGCAGTACACTGCCGCAATGGGCGAAGCTAAGGAGGGGCCACAATGGTCCCTTGCCCACCCAAATATGGTCTAGGGATATATGTTAGTAATTATCTCGGTGCATTATTGTATTAGAACTTACTTGAAGTGAGAGCTCTGGCCCACCCAAGTCTTGTGTAATTTTTTCTTTAAAGTTCAAAATACCTAATGTGCAAAGTCGCGCTTCCTCAGCCCCATTAAGGTTCACGTAGAAAAAAGGTATGCAAGTAATTAAACAAAGTAGTTTGAGCACAAAACATAGGAAAGAGAAACTGAGAATGATTAAAAATGGTAAATAATCAAAGTACATAATTGGATGAGTGGGAATATATTTGGGTGGATTAGTTGATGATTAATGGTATTGTTGTGAGTGTGTCTATTTAAAGAGTAATGAAAGTTATAATTCAACACCTTTAATTTTTTTCCAAACAGGAAAGGGTAACATGATATGGGATTTCCAGAAAAGGTAAGTGGGAATCTTAAGTTGAGATGGAGGGAGTAAAAAGTTAATTGAAACAAAGCGGCCAAATAAATTGCATTTGGGGATGTTTGAATTTGTAAGTTCAATGCATTCGATGTGCATTTTATTTTCACTCTCTAGTCTCTGGTCGGCACAATCCATTATCAGGTGCTAGCTGCACCACTGGGCACTGGTTACCTCCTGCAAGATAAAATCAATTCACCCCAGTTTTGTAAAAGAACATACGTCGCTAAATTTTGTGATAACATCATCTACAAATTCTCTGCATTGAGCTCTTTCTAAGATAAAAAATTATTATTAGAAGTTGCATAAAGAAAGATCTACTGCATGTGAAGCTAGATTACTTGAATTTCCTCCTACGATTACATTGCTAGCAATTATGCCCTGGAAAAATGAATTTGAACCTTTTAAATTAGTCCAATTTTTCAAGCTTCATCAGATTTGAAACATAATGTGAATCTATCGAGTTAACTGAGTCGGTCAAATTTGAGTTTATATGTGATTAGCTTGTTTTGTTCACCACTTCACCATTAAACGTAAGCCCTTCACCACATTGTCAAGCTTACTTGCAAACTCTAAAGTTTGACATTTTGGCCAGCGGGTGCCGGGTGCTAATAGGCCTGCAACAAGTTACACTTTATTTTTAATATTAATATGAGCACGATGCAGGGACTTATGTGTTTCGGCTACCAGTAGCTTGCTGCCATCTGATTTTGTGGTTTTGCAATGTGGCAGGACATAATATAAAAGCTGCAAAAAACGCTTTGGATTTAGAGAAGGAAAGATCTATGCTGTATAAGGAATTAGTTGCAAAGAATGAGGCATTGGGGTTAGGCACTAAAAGGGTAATGATAATCAAGTTCAAGCTTGCTTTCTGCTTGTAATAATTCATGTGTGGGAATGTATGAACAACTGACATGCATATTTAATCATTTAATGTTGTTGTAGTGTGGCTCACACAGGGTTCAGATTCCTGAAATGTTGTAAATATCATTAAATTTTAATATGCAATGATAAAGATCTCATGAATATTTCTTGAACATACCTAAACGGTGGACAAAACAGATTGTGGCACATTTTTAATAGAAAGTTTCGTAATCAACATTTTATGTTTAATTTTTTGCACAGAATACTGTGAAATCATATTATACCCTACCAAAAACAAAGGAGTGGGTCAGCTCTTGTATTATATGTTACGAGTATATCATTACATAGTATTGATCAAGCCTCATTGTGGGCAGGAATATGATAGACATGATAAAGAAATCTCTAGAAGGATCAAAACCATAACAGGTTCGGGAAAAAATGTTAGGTGAGATGGTTGCCTATTAATCAGGCTACCGGGCCATTTCTACTTGCTTTAATATACTCAGATTTTTCTTGCATTATCACTCTTCAATTTATGCTATTTATTGTTTCTATATAAGCCACTTCTGACATGCTATACTCTTCCACAGGGCCAAAGCAGATGAGTTGATTAAGTTGATAAATTATTCACCATATCCTCAATCCATAAGCATTGCAATCCTTGCAAAAGAGGTAGGTCGATTAATCAACATTTTTACTCGAACCTTCTCATGCTTGCTGGTTTAATTTAGTGTATCCTATCCTTTTTCTTTTCTTGGTTAATAGTTTTAGTATATTACTCCCTCTGTTTTTAGTCTCCCGCTTTCCGACTAGTTTTTTACTATTTTTTCCACTTTCTCTTTTGACAACTACGAATGTCTCAAATGGCATGAATGTTATTACATTGTAATCTTCTCTTACCTAATATTCTAAAAGGAAAATTGTTCATGTAATCTTATCAAGGGATTCAATTGACTTTTAAATTCCCTATTTATCTAAATTACTTGGTCTTGGGCGGTATATTTGTCAAAATGTCTGCATAGAAAATACAGCACCCCTTTTCAATTCAGGCCAAATTATAACTTTTTCATCTTTATCTACACTTTTCAGTACCCTTTCCATTTTTATGCATTTTAGCCTCTTCATCTAACGAAGTACTTTTTTGCACTACTTTTTTTAAATTTAAAATAATCCAATTAGATTAACTAAATATGATAGTGCAGATAGTGGTTGAATCTTCTGAAAATTGCACATGCCCATTTTGTAGACAAAATGAGTGAAGCGGTTGAATGTCTTGAATTATCCAATGAATATATTTTTAAAAGTATAAGACTAGTAAGGCAAAATCACTTGGCAACGTAACTCATGAACTACTTTTATCATTTGGCAATAGAAAGCAGATTAATATCATTAGTATTCAGTGCAAAATTTAGCTGATAAGGCTAATAAGACAAAATCAGTGCTTACTGAACAGACTGACTGCCCAAACGAGATCGCCTTTATTGGCGCGGCAGGTCACAAACACACACTGATCTCATAATTAGTAAAAACTACACCTGATATCAATGAAGTACTCAAACAGATATGGAACATGCTTATGTTAAAAAAATTATGTTAATCCCATCTATAGTGGTGAAGCAACAATTTTCATCATTTCCAATGGAGCCAAAGACTCATTATTTTGGCGCGTTTGGCAGTATGCCGATCGGGCCAACTCTAATCCCTTGAGAGTTGAAACATGTGCACATGTAGCAGAGGTGGACACAAATGTCTTATTTTATAAAGTTATGGATGTGGCTACAGACATGTCGTGATCAACACGTGTGGACATGAAGCACAGGCCACCGTAGAGTGTGGGTTATTGAAGAAAAGTATGCTAATCTTGTATCTGTCTGGAATGTCGCAGATTGTCTGCCGGTTTGTGGCTCTTCCTCCTGGAGGTTTTAAGAGTATTCCTTATAGCTTTGGCCTTGTTATTGTTCTTGTTACTTCTCAGGTAAGATATTATATTTCTTGCTTGCTAAGTGCTATTTTATGGTAACTAGAGCCACTTTCGTCTCAAGATAAACTTATTGTTTGAATTTCACGGTCTACAATATCCATTTTTAGCATTATTACTTACTATTATGTATTGAAAAAAACACCAATTAATTACTACCTCCGTAAGACCGTAATATTCATATATTCCCATTTAAAAGTGGGTGAGATTATGAATAGTGAAAGGAGATATAAATTATTGAGGGTATGATTTGAAGATAATGAAATAATGAGCTGGAATGAAGGATAAATTCAAAAAAGTAGTTGTAATAGTACATTATTTTCAAAATTATTGAGGGTAATGGGTATGATGAGAAGATTTTGAAATGGGAAGATATGAATGGTATGGTTGAAAAAGAAAAGTGGGAAGATATGAATGTTAAGGGAGTAATAAAAAAGGGGCAGCCATGCGTATAAGAAGCAAGCCTTCCCTTGACATTTTGACAAAAGACTGCTCCCAAGACTAATAAGTTAATGTTGCATAAAAATATATTTGTTGCAAAATGCAAAGTACAATTCATTGGTCAAACTGCAACTCCTAAGCTTATTTTCTTTGATACTCTTCCATAATTTAAAAGTCATGTTACTACTACTATTATAGAACTTTTAGTGTTTTGTTAAAAGTCACTGAGAGTTGGAGTAACCCAACAACATATACACTATTATGAGTTTATCATACTTAATACTCATAGGATATACATGGGCCACTTACATTTTCTCACCCCAACATAAACACCTATATCTTTTCACTACCATGCTATGATTCTTCGAAACACATATTTAGGCGCATCTAAGTCGAAATCAAATTTTTTACAATTTTACAACTCAGCCATGTGCATCCGTGATACCCTTGAAGGCCATGATAAAGCATCATGTGTTAATTCCACACGTGTCACATGATCAGTAATTTGAGTTAATTAATTAAGACAAGGAGTTTTTATTTGCTTATAGAAAAATTAAGCAAAATGGCTCAGTGAGCCGTCTGCGCTTCTTTGTTATGAATCAAAAGTCACTCCATGCAATTTTCATCGCGATTTTCATCATGGGTTATTCGAAAACAGTCTCTTTGTGCTTTAGTACAGGGGTAAGGCTGCCTACACCAGATCCCCCTTTACCCACCGTAGGTAATGTTGTTGTTGTATAGTTTTAAATTAAGTATTACAAAGAATGAATTGAAATTATCCTCAGTCTTACGTCGTTGCATGAGGACACAAAAATCGGGGCATAGAGAGTATAGTTTATGAAACGTTAGTACAACAATGACATCCAAGCCTTGTCCCAAAAGATTTTGGGGTTAGCTAACATGAATCTATCCATGATATCGTAGGCAAAAGGAAAAAGAAAGATAAGAATTTTGACTTCAAAAATCACTGAAGTGTTTTGGGATGAATCCTTGATTTAGTTTAATTCCGTCTGGCTCTCTCATGTATACTAATAGAGGCACCGTTTATCATACTTTTTGTTGTGTCCTTTTATTCTTTACCGTAATAATTTCCACCCCCGCCCTTAATGTTGAATGGCTTACAAGTGAGGCAACCAATTCAGTTAAGGTCAAAAGCTTCTCCTTTATGATTGTATTCCTACATTCTGCTTTTATGGCAGGTTCCACTTGCTATGGATATTATCCTTGCTGAATTGAACAAAAATTGCATCTATACAGTTCCAAAGCATATAGTGTACTCTCAGGTATTTACTGTTTGTTTGGCTTCCATCAAGTATGTTGGCCTTCCAGAGTAATCTACTTGGTACCTCATTCGGGGGGGGGGGGGGGGGGGGGGGGGGGGGCACCGTTTAAGCCTTAAGGTATTGCTGTGTCTGTGTGACTGAGGCATGCACTCTTGATTCGTCCTCACCAATGTACCGCATTCATTAGCCCCCCCCCCCCCCCCCCCCCCGCGGTCCATTTATTTTTGCTGTAACTTCTGTTAAACGGTTGCACTTCCATATCTCTATTTTTTTCAGTCATACTTCAAGACCAAAAAAGCTTACTGTAAAGCTATTGGATATCAAGATGGGGAGATTGAAACTGATAGTAGTTACCTACATCGGTTATGTGCCTTCATGAAACTATACGGAGCTATTGTTCAGGTTTTCTACCTCCTTAGTTTGGATAGAGGGTTTTGGAGGGCTCTACCAAGGAGAAAAATCCATAAATAGGCCAAAACATTGATAAAGTTCAAAAATAGGACTATCATTGTTGTATTCCTAAAATAGGACCCATTCACTAATCACTCCTATTTTGGGAAGTTTAAATCAACTTATTCTTTTAGTAGGACTCAATTAGTCCTATTTTGGGAATGTAAAACACACTTGGTCGGTTAGTCCTATTTTTGAACTATGTTTTGATCTAATGTTGAACAATTTCTACCAAGTCTATGGCTTCATTCTTGTTATTCCATTCTTTTATTGTATTATACTCCATCCATGTTGAAATAATCTTTTTGGCCCTTTCTAAAGTAATCTTCGTCTTTTCTTTTGAAGAAAAATGTGTGGCCGGTATTGGTCTTATTTCAACATATATCTCAGACACACTGGGAAGATTAGGAGAGAGAATATCTATTTGAGATTTTATAAAAAAAAATGAAATAATAGGTGATCCTATAACATTCATTCACTCTTCATTTGTTTTAGAGGCTTCTTTCTATCAAGATATAGACTCAAACCTCCAAAGTCTCTTCATACAAATCACTTGATTCAAACTGGACCTTATGTAATTTTGTAGTCGTTCTTTTAGAGACAACCAAATGAGATAAAGGTGCTAATTCCATAAGATGATGTCTTTAGACTGAAGTCGAAGGGTTCCAAAACATGCATGGGCATCGAGAAGGTTGGGCATGGTTGGCTAGACTCTTAAATGCAGTCCCGGCAAACCTGTACACTGCTGCTGCTTTAAAAGCATTTCTTGAAGTATGTTGATCACAAGACCTTTTTGATGCTGTAATACATGGATTCAAAAAATGTTTACTAGTGGTTTTCACTACATGCATGCAGGTTGCTGGTTTTGTGCTACACAGAAAATACAAGCATCATTTTGAGAAGCTATTGAACATCCTCACCAGAGACTTCTTGAAAGCTTTGGACGAAGGTCTTCAGTCACACATAGTGGTCACTGAGCTCCGTAGTTATGTAGAGTCAAAGAGGTATCTCAGTGAGCCAGAGGGTCGGCATCTAACAGATCATCTACTTTCAAACACTTGTATATAGCTGCTTCTAAGTTGTTACAGTTGAAGATTGAGGCTTTTGATCGGTTTTTCTGAACTTTTTAGGACTTGTTTATGTTTGTAATCATTTGTGTAGAACTGGGATTCAGACATGTTCGTGTATAAATACACAACAGAAAAAGTTGTACCACTATTTTAATAGGATACAAATAGTTTTGGATCTGTTTTTTTTTCCTAATGGCCTTTTTGTAAAATTTTAATGCTTGGATACGGTTTTAGTCAGTAAAAAATACTACGTAATATTTATTATCCTTTATCTACGTTAACTAAATGGTTATTGTTTTAGATCTTTGCAAATATGATCTCAATCCAGTTTTTCAAGTCATTATATTTATAATAATAAAAATACTTTTTGTGGTAAAGATCTATTCTGAAAACTTGGATAATTATTTTAGTTTAGTGGTAACTGTATTACTAGTTTTCAAAAAGATATAAGATTGGATAAAAACAAAAAATTAAAGTGAACCAACTTATATTTTTAAGAACATGGATTGTTCTTAAAGTGTAAAAAAACTAAAAAGAAATTTATATAAATTACATGAATGCAATTTTTTTGGGGGGGATGTAAGTAGGGGTGGGTTCGGTTCTTTCGGTTCGGTTTTTACTTAAAACCAAATACGGAATCAAAGTTAAAGTTCGGTTCGGTTTCGGTTCGGTTTTACACTCCAAAACTCGGAACCACGGTTTGATTGGTTCGATTTGCTTCGGTTCGGTTTCGGTTCTTTCGGTTTTTTACCAAAAATTTGTCATTTGATTTAAAATTGATATAATAGTTGGAGGGATCAAACATATTGCATAAAAAACACAAGCATACTAGAATAAATGAAGTAAAAATAAGAATAAAAAAACATGTCTTGAATTATATGAGTATGCAAGAGAGATATAAGTGTATATATTCTTAATTTACATTGTTTGTGACTAGATTGAAAAAAGTTCATGAATACATATATCATATGTGATATAACTGAGATGAATATTTATTTGATTTATCAATGTAAAAAATGTAAGTTACATAAAAATATAATTTAATTACTACTAATAACCTCTAAAAACAATAATCATGCAACAAATTGCAACGTACATACATACATAAAAGACATAATCGATCAATATAGCTACATTATTATGGGCAAATGAATGAGTAAATGCATTTATAAACTAAACTAAACATAAACATTATTTCTATAGCACAAAGAATCAAAGAATATTGATGATATTAGGATTAATGATTAAAAATTAACAAATAAAATTTCATATTTTAATTAGTTCGGTTTGTTCGGTTCGGTTCGGTTTTGAAGGGTAAAAACCAAAACCGAACCAAACAACTACGGTTCGGTTCGGTTTTTTACATTCGGTTTCAGTTTTTAGCGGTTCGGTTTTATTTGGTCGCGGTTCGGTTTAATTTGATTCGGTTTTCGGTTTTCGGTTTTCCGGACCCAGCCCTAGATGTAACACATTTTATATGGAAATTTTAATAATATTCTTGGGTAAACATATTGATATGGGCCAACATATAATATCTCCAGACTCTAGCCAGTGCCATTACAAGCTGTACAAGCTGACTGACATATATAAAAAAAATATCTTGGTGCTGACTGCTGTAGGAAGCATTCATGGCTTTGTACAAATACACTATCCACATGGGATGCTATGTGTTACTGCAATACTTTCTTGGATGCATATTTCATGAAAGCCTTCAAACGGACACAGCTTCGGGAAGAACTCTTTCATTTTGTGCTAGAGATGGCAACGTATCATAGTACTCCACCAAGACTTTCCAACCACTTGGGCACATAAATCCATCCGGAGGGCTCTCCTTGTTCTTCGCCAATGTTCGCATCTGAATCCAAAAATCATAAACTCTGCAAAACGTTGAAAAAAGAACAAAAAATGAATCCACAGATACCTTGGTGCCAGATATGAAAATAAAATCTTGAGGCCTAGATGGATCAAAGAATGCCATTTTATTCTGAGTCTTGACGTCTATATGCAGGAACCTACACGAAGAAGAAAAATTAATGAATAAGAGATCATGCACTTTGTGTGACAAAAAAACCATCAAAGTCATATGTACCACCTTAAAAGGCAAAATGTTAAGCCGCTCTAGTCCAGGTGCCATTGTCAACACTCTCTTCCCATGATCTGCATCATATAAATCTCTCTTCTCCGTCGGGTGGCCCATTCCGGCTGGATCACGGCCCACAATGTAGAAATTAGCACCTGCATTTATGCGAGCCTTTGCATGCCATTGCACCTCAGTCGGACCCGCGTAGTGCATGGGAGACGGGAATATAGAAACAACAGTCATTTGAGGATCAAGCACACCATCTTCAAGAACCTCCAAGTTAAGGCGGGGAAGGAAGTAGACAAAGTTATGCTTAACATAGAGGGAATATGATATACTCCGTAAGAATTATTAACTTTTGCAATTCAGTTCTAAAAGGCTGCTCAAACAGGAGGGCAGTCTAAAACATTATATACGAAGTATATATGAGTTTATATCTTTGTATTTTGCTCCGGAAGGATGGGACACTTTCCACATACAAGAACTAAAGTCTGAGTATCTGTTATTGAGGCTTACCAGTCAAATTACTAGTCTGAGCTTTAGTAGGCACTTATAGTGTATTCAGACTTATTTTTAACATTTGACAAATTTTTTTTGACAAGGCTAATCTCGAATTTTTTTTTATTCTATCATAAAAGTTCAACGTGATACCACGAGTAATCCAATAGCTTATACGTGATTCAGTATCTTGGTAATTAGCTGATGTGAGATCACTTATAGTATATGGCTGTGCATAAATAATTATTTATATTTAGTCGATGAGTTAAACATGCTTGGTTAAAAAAAACTAGTAAAATCCCAAAACCCAGAATCTGACCTCATATTGCTTCATTCGCAAATAGCAATTATTATTTCAGTTTAGATTCTTATTAGAAAGTATAAATTTCCAAAATAGGTGAACTCTTAAGGAAGAACCTAGGCTTCACCAAAACTAAGGTGAACTGTGAACACTGCTGAATAAACTAACCACTCACAAAACAACCCCCCACAATATGAAACAGAAAGGGAATTAGCATATCCCATCACCATAATCACTGCAAAAATGAACTAGGCATTGAATGATTTCATATTCAGCCAAAAAAAAGTACAGAACAAAATGAGTTTATAGGGTTAAACAAAAGAAAAAATCCTTTTGTTACGGTGCGGAGATGCCTTCGTGCACCGGGCTGCCTTTTTTATGACTTGGTTACCTCATTGGGCACAAGCACTTCTGATTCATCTTGACTAATGTACCGCATTCATTAGCCCCCCCCCCCCCCCATATTTTTTTTCTGTAACTGAACGGTCTTCAAGACAAAAAAAAGCTTACTATAGAGCTATTGGACATCAAGAAGATGGGGAGATTGAAACTGATACTAGTTACCTAAAACGGTTATGTGCCTACATGAAACTACACGGAGCTATTGTTTAGGTTTTCTAACTCCTTAGTTTGGATAGATGGTTTTGGAGGGCTAAGTCTATGGCTTCATTCTTGTTACTCCATTCTTTTATTGTTATATACTCCATCCATCTTAAAACAATCTTCTTCTTTTCTTTTGAAGAAATATGTGGCTGATACTGTTTCTCATTTCAGCATAAATCTCAGACACACTATGGGAAGATTATTAGGAGATGGGGAACATCTATTTGAGATTTTATTAAAAAAATGAATGACATAATAGGTGGTCCTATGACATTCAATCACTTTTCATTTGTTTTAGAGGCTTCTATGTATCTAGATAAGATTCAAACCTCAGATTTTATAAAAAGATGAATGCCATAATAGGTGGTCCTATGACATTCAATCACTTTTCATTTGTTTTAGAGGCTTCTATGTATCTAGATAAGATTCAAACCTCAGATTTTATAAAAAGATGAATGCCATAATAGGTGGTCCTATAACATTCAGTCACTCTTCATTTGTTTTAGAGGCTTCTATCTATATGATATAGACTCAGACCTCCAAAGTCTTCCCGCACAAATCACTTGATTAAAACTAGACCCTTATTTATGTAATTTTGTACTAGTTCTTTTAGAGACAACCGAATTATATAAAGGTATTAATTCCATATGATGGTGTCTTTAGACTGAAGTCGAAGGGTTCCAGAACGTGCATGGGCATCGAGAAGGTTGGGCATGGTTGGCTAGATTCTTAAATGCAGTCCAAGCGAACTATGATGTCTTTACACTGCTGCTGCTTTAAAAGCCTTTCTCAAAGTATGTTTGGTGAACACCTATGTAGCACGGAAACTCTCGGGAAAGAGTACGTTTCCGTTTCGGAAACTCTCAGAAACTCTTTGGAAACTCTCGGGAAAGAGTACGTTTCCGTTTCGGAAACTCTCAGAAACTCTTTGGAAACTCTCGGAAACTCTTTGGAAACTCTCCAAATAAGCCTTTTTTGAGCAAAAGTTGACGTTTCCCGTTTCCTCCTGATTTTCGCGTTTCCGTGCAACACAGGTGAACCAAGACCTCTTTGATGTTGTAATACATGGATTAAAAAAAATTACAAGTAGTGGTTTTCACTACATGCATGCAGGTTGCTGGTTTTGTGCTACACAGAAAATACAAGCATCATTTTGAGAAGCTATTGAACATTCTCACCAGAGACTTCTTGAAAGCTTTGATAATTAGTTTAGTTTTAGTAGTAACTATTTTAATAGTTTAAAAAAGATATGTAGTACTTCTCTCCGCCTCAAAATACTTAGCCAAATCTTAAAATTTGGATCATGATTTTGATTAGTATGATCTTATGAAAATTATAAATTTTATATTGTTATAGAAGTACTTTTAACAAAGAACAATTTCGTATAATTTTTATATTATACTATTTGTCCCAAAATAATTAGTCAAATCCGAAATTTGAATCATGATTTTGATTATAATATTATGAAAATGGTTAATTTTATACTTTTATGAAAGTAATTTTAACAAATAACATCTTCAAATCTTTTTTATATTATACTCCGTAAATAATTTTCAATAACTATATACTTCGTATAATTGGTCAAAATTTTGAATTTGACTAAGTATTTTGGGACATAGGTAATAAGTAATTTCCATTAAATACTCCGTATATAATTAGACAAAATTTGAATATGAGATAGTATTTTGGGACTGAGGTAATACTTCGTATAAGATTGGATATAAACAAAATTAAGATGAACCAATTTGTTTTTTAGAAATGGGATTGTTCTTAAGTATAAAAAACTAAAAAGAAAATAATTTATAAATTACATGAATGAAAATATCTCTTATGGAGATCTAACACAAACATTTTATATGGAATTTAATAATATTCTGGTATGAACATATTCAGAGGGCCGACAGCTATTATGGGTGTACACATTTGGTTTTGGTGTACACATTTGGCTACATATACACTTATTTTAACAATTTATCTGTGTACACAGTCATATTCATTTTTTAGACGAATTGCCATATACTCCCTTCGTTCTTTATTAGATGTCCCTACAGGATTTGACACAAGTTTTAAGAGAAAGATAATAGGGCTAGTGGAAAAGGTATAGTGGGTTGTGTTTAAATGACAAAGTAGGAATAGTCATGGACCCGGTTCGGGCCGCCCGGCCCGGGACCGGCCCGGCCCGCTACTGTGCGGGCCCGGAACCGGCCCGGTTCTCGGGTCCGGGTCCGGGTCGGGCCTAGGCCCGGTGGGGGAGGCGGGTCCGGGCTCGGGCCTTGTATTTGGCGAACCGGCCCGGCCGGGTCGGGCCCAGGTCCGGGCCGAATTGAATTTTTATTTTTTATTTTTTTTTTCATTTTTTGGGGTTACCCGGGTTGGGCTTAATGGTTAGGAGGGGTTTGGGGGGTGAGGGGAGGTTAGGAAAGCAAAAAAAAAATATGACCAAACCGGAGGCCTGGCCCGGACCCGGTGGCTACCCGGGCCAGTCCCGGGCCTTCCTTCCCAAAAAAAAGCCCGGCCGGGCCTGGCCCAGCCCGGGTCCATGACTAAGTAGGAAAGAGAATGAAAAAGTAGGAAAGAAAATGAGGGTAAATGAGTATATTTATTGAAAAATTTTACCAAAAATGGAAAGGGAGTCGGAGACAACTATTAAAGAATGGAGGGAGTATATATATATATATATATATATATATATATATATATATATATAGAGAGAGAGAGAGAGAGAGAGAGAGAGAGAGAGGACTGCTCAGGTCCAGCCGGAGGAAAGGGAGCAGCCGTCCGAACTTCACTGTTTGGGGCGGTTCCCGGTGGAATTTTTCGATGAAATTTTTTGAGCATGTTCCTCATCAAGTCTAGTTTGTCCATACCAAATTTCAGCTCAAAATTCGACCGGGAAGGCAGTCAAATAAATTCTTGAAACTTACTGCACTTTATATATTCGCAGAATGTGCAGTAAGCTTCAAGAATTTATTTGAATGCCTTCCCGGTCGAATTTTGAGCTGCAATTTGGTATGGACAAACTAGACTCGATGAGGAACATGCTCAAAAAATTTCATCAAAAAATTTCACCGGGAACCGCCCCAAACAATAAAGTTCGGACGGTCCCTCCCGTCCCTCCAGAGTGACCTGATCTTTTCTGTATATATATACTCCCTCCGTCCCGAAAACAACTTCCCGGTTGGACTTTCACACGCTTTTAGGAAATAAATTTGACTTTACTGTAGAGTGCACTGTTTGGCACTGTTTAAACAATGTTTGGCACTGTTTGACACTGTTTATCACTTTTTTGATGTAGATAATTTGCCAAATAAGGAAAGTATTGAAGTGTGAAGTTAATTTTGGGACATCCATTTAAGGAAAGTGGGAAGTTGTTTTTGGGACGGAGGGAGTATATATATACACAAATGTTCCTGTCAGGTATACCTGACAGGAACCGCCGTCCGGCCTCCTCCTTTTGGGGGCCTTCCCGATGGTATTTTTTGCTCAAATTTTTTGTGTATGTTCCTCATCAAGTCTAGTTCATCCATACCAAATTTCAGCAAAAAATTCAATCGGGAAGGTCGTCAAATGATTTTTGCAAGTTAACTGGTCCGTTAACTTGACCAGTTAACTTGCAAAAATCATTTGACGACCTTCCTGATTGAATTTTTTGATGAAATTTGGTATGGATGAACTAAACTTGATGAGGAACATACACAAAAAATTTGAGCAAAAAATACCACCGGGAAGGCCCCCAAAAGGAGGAGGCCGGACGGCGGCTCCGGTCAGGTATACCTGACCGGAAGATTACTCTATATATATATATATATATATATATAGGGTAAGGATCAAATGAGAATATCATCTTAGGAGAGAAATGAGAATGATTCTGGAGCGTTGGATTTGAGCATTGTGCATAATGTGAAACAGAAACGTGCATATAAAAAATTGGAAAATGTGCATTTCGTCTGTGCAAAATTTTAAACGTCAAAGTGCACATTAGAATTTTGCATTGCTTTAACTATAAATGTGCATTTTCGTTAAGGATAAAGTGCATCATTTTGGAGCGTTCTCATTTCTCACGTTAAGGAGTGTTCTCACCGGAACCGCACCCTATATATATATATATATATATATATATATATATATATATATATATATATATATTTATATCTATACACACACACAAACGAAATAGAGGTGTACACGAAAAGTGAATAAATATAGTTGTACAGAAGGCTTTTTCCTAGGGCCAATCTTTATGTCAAAACAAGCATAAAGATATTATTTGCAACTTTTCCCATTTCAATCACCTCATGAATATCTCCAGTGCCATTACAAGCTGACAACATGTGATCAAATGAACAATTGAGATCTTGCTAGACGATTAAAACCCCGATGGACGCCTGAGCACACCAATACTTGATCTTTCAAGGAATCGTCATGTTATATACAAGTACACTATCCACATGGGATGGTATTGTGTTATAGCATGCAATATTTTTCCGAATGCATATTTCGTCAAACCTTTCAAACCGAGACAGCTTCAGGAAGAACTCTTTCATTTTCTGCTGGAGATGACAAGGTATCATAGTACTCCACCAAGACTTTCCAACCACTTGGGCACATAAATCCATCTGGAGGGCTCTCCTTGTTCTTCGCCAGTGTCCGCATCTGAATCCAAAAATCATAAACTCTATGCAAAAAGTAGAAAAATGAAAAAAAAATGAACCCACAGATACCTTGGTGCCAGATATGAAAATAAAATCTTGAGGCCTAGATGGATCAAAGAATGCCATTTTATTCTGAGTCTTGTCATATGCAGCCACCTACAAGAAGGGAAAAAAAATCAATACGTAAGAACAGAAGATCATGCAGTTTTTGTGACAAAAAAGCCATCAAAGTCATATGTACCACCTTAAAAGGCAAAATGTTAAGCCGCTCCAGTCCGGGTGCCATTGACAACACTCTCTTCCCATGATCTGCATCATATAAATCTCTCTTCTCTGTCGGGTGGCCCATTCCAGCTGGATCACGACCCACAATGTAGAAATTAGCACCAGCATTTATACGAGCCTTTGCATGCCATTGCACCTCCGTCGGGCCAGCATAGTGCATGGGAGATGGGAATATAGAAACAACAGTCGTTTCAGGATCAAGCACACCATCTTCAAGAACCTGCAAGTTAAGGCGGGAAGGAAGTAGATAAATATATGCTAACATAGAGGAAATATGTAATAAGAATTAATAAGTTTTGAAATTCGGTTCTAAAAGGTAGCTCAAACAAGAGGGCAGTCTATAACATTATATACGGAATATGAGTTTATATCTTTGTATTTGGCTGGTGTGAGAGGCTTAACGACTTAACATGGTCCAGAACATGGGACACTTTCCACATGCAAGTACTAAAGTCGAATTGCTTGTCGGAGCGTAATAGGCACTTATAGTATATTCAGACTTAAGATTCTCTCATAAAAGTTCAACATGATACTATGAGTTATCCAATATCTTATACAGTATGTTATTCAGTATCTTTGTAATTGGCTGACGTGAGATCACATACGTTATATGTCTGCAAAACTAATTAATTAAATTTAATCGATGAGTTAAACATGCTTGGTTCAAACTTCAAAACAAAAAACTCATAAAATACAGAATCTGACCTTCTCATGTTGCTTCATTCGCCAATGAAGGGGAACATCATCCGCCTTCGTATAACCTCCAAGCGGGTGAAGCAAAAGAATTGGGTTCTCATAACCCATCTCAAGAAGACGGCGGCGTGTATCAGTCATCAAGAGAGCATGCCCGTTATGCACAGGATTTCTAAGTTGAAAAGCAAATACGGCATCTGCATTCCTCTTGGAGAATTCATCACGGAGCTGTGCAGGGGATAGCCGGAACCTGTCAAGCCCATCTTCATACTTTATCGGCTCTATCACTTCCAAATCCCCACCGATTAGCCAGTTTCCACTGTTAGTTATAGCTTGTTCAACATATGGCAGCCCTTGGGCAGTCGTGCCCCATGTTCTAGCTATCCTTTCTTCCTTGTTATGCTTGTATATCTCTATGCTGCAATCAACCAATCACATAATAACACCTAATTTGAGAAATTGTAAATTGTAATGTAGACGAAGATATAAAAAAAGCATTACAAATCATAAATCCTGCTTGTATGGGTTTGGCCAAACAGTGGTCGGGATATGAATAAACTAACTACAGAAGTAAATAGCCTAATTCCTGACCCACTATTACCTTTAATAGAACCTCTCTCACACACACAAAAATCATCCTTTAGTGAATACGACTACAAAAAGGGAAAAACATGTATTCACAACGATTTCACTTTGCAAGTGAAGGCTGCAATTGGTTAATCTGAATATAAGTAAATATGATGGATTCAGGTGAATCTAGGTCAAGTAAAAACGATGAACCTAAATGTATCCACGTGTATCTGCAAAAAGGTGAATGAACAAAGACCTATTTGGATACTGATCCGGTTGGAATGCAACAGAATGTTACATAAAGTGATGTTTAATCAATGTGAACACCAGGGGAAACCAAACCCAAAACCCTGGGTTTGGAATTTATCCAGAAAATTGTTCTTTTTTTGCAGATTCTCCTAGTTTTGTACTGGATTTAGATACTTATTAGAAAGTAAATTTCCAAACTACGGTGAACTGTGAACACAGAAGGAATCATAATGAATAAACTAACCACTCACAAAACAACCCCCCTCACAATATGAAACAGATCTGGAATTAGCATATCCCATCACCATAATCACTGCAAAAATGAACTAGGCAATGAACATTCCTCATAGATTGAATGATTTCATATTCAGCCAAAAAACAAAGTATGGAACAAAATGAGTTAAAAGGTTTAATTAAAAGAAAATAAAAAACCCTTACTCGTTGAGAATAGCTACAGTTTTATCTTTATCGTCGATAAGGGCCACGCTGCTCGACCCGCTGATCTGGCTCTTCTGGGCATCGTCAATGGCGAGCACTATCGGCACCGACATGTTGACGAAGGAACCATCCTCAAGACGTAGCGAGTTGAAATGAAGCGTTTGGAGGAACTCGGATTCCCTCATGAAGCCCTTCAATGGGCTGGCCCACCCTTCGCTGAGCACGTGAAGCCATTGGAGGTCGATCAGGGAGAGCTTGATCCGGGGAAGACCCAAAGAATGTCTCTTTATCGCCTCTCTCTGAGATTCCTCGACGAACAGCTCCACGAGCCTGCCTCCATCGGGTTTTATCAACGCGCACGAAACTGTATTCCTGGGTCGGATCCCGGATGCGACCCGGGAAGAGAATGAGAGTTTGAAGGTCGCGACAAAATGGGTTTTCTGCGTTCTCGGTAAGTACTGTTTAGGAGCCGGGGGATGGAGGAAACGTGAAGCCATCGCCGCCATGTGAGATTGAAGGAGCTGCTTGAACAGTTAATCAAGTGGGGGAGTTAGGAAAAATTGTGGGAGTTCATTCACGATTTGAAATTCTGAATGGCACGAAATGAAGGGAAATCACTATGGTATGAGAGGACATACGTAGTACAAAGGAGGTTAGGGATCAGATGAAAGTTTCTGAAATGGCAAATGTGGACTGTTATTTGTAGTACAGACTATACAGAATTTCATGGGGTTTGGGAGGATGAACCTGGACGCCTAAATGGCAATTTACGACACAGCTTGAAACTCAAAAAGTAACCACTGAACCCAAATTTGACTTTTTCTTAATGACATTCTCCTTGAAATTTCTTTACTCCCTAAAATAATTTTTTCTTAGGGAGTACTAGTACACACTTTTTGTATATATTTTGTCTACACCCTCTAGTTCTCTATTTGCACATGCAATTCGCTAAGAAGTCGTCTTGTAGACAGATAATTGAGAAGGGTGTATAAAGAATGTGTACTAAAAGTGTGTACATCAAGCAACACTCTTGAGTTATTTATCACGATTGTAAAAAATATCGGAAAGTGTAGACACTGAAATTGGCTGAATTGGTTGTTTCTGCTGAATCTTATGAAGTTCTGGCTGAAGTGCCTGGATTGACCGATTTTGTTGATTTATTAAAAAAAATATTTAAAATATTTTTTATTAATAAAAAAAAGAAAAAATTATATGAAAAATAACTAAAATGGCCTTTTACAGTAACTTCAACCAATGTTGGTAGAAAAGTAACTTCAACCTAAGTTATTGTGATTACTACTCAATTTAGCGTGTGAAATCAAAAGTTACATGTTTAGAGAAAAGTAAGTTGATAATTGAAAAACAGGGTCACCAAAAGGGCTCTTAGTTAACTATTTTGTGGTTACTGTAATTTCTCTTTGCTACACAAACCTAAATCACAAAGTTTTTACTTTATTATTCTCCATACCGAGTAATGAAATAAGTCTAATTAAAACATTCTTAGAACTAAAAAACGATCTGCTTCATTCTAGGATACATGTCAATTTACTATGGAATACGAAGTATTATTTTTAATCTAGCCAAAATTTATTAGGTCATATATGGGTCTCATCTTGCATGTTCATGTTCATGTTCATGTTCATGTTCATGTTCATGTTCATGTTCATGTAAATTTATTAGGTCATATATGGGTCTCATCTTACAATTGAAACCAATCCAAATAAAAATATACCGATTACGGAGAATTGTGAATTGCACGTATATTAAGAAAAAATTCTTTTCCTTGGACTTCTTGAAATATTCCTTCAATTGAGAGATACGGAGTAATTTTTATTGTTTTGACATTATTTGACACTATTTTGTAATGTGTTGTCATGATTATTTAAAAGTAGTAGAATAAATTCATATAAATTTGCTTATCAAACAGTGATACAGGGTATGTTTTATTTGTACTCAAATTCAGATGTTAAGGAATACAGAAATATTCTTGAGAAAAGCTAAAAAAGCAAGTGTTCCGGAAAAGCTCAACTAAAACATTTTTGTTTGATATAGTTTGGTAACACTGTTTTTCGGCTTATCAGACTTATCAACCATCTTTTTCGCCAGATATGTAACTTTTATTTTAGCGCGCTGAATTGTGTAATAATAACAAAAAGTAAGGTAGAAGTTTTTTTCCTGGCTGTATTGGCTGAAGTTACTGTAGATGACCATTTTAGCTATTTTTACATATAATTTTTATTTATTTTTTTAAAAAAATATATTTTAAATTTTTTTTTTCTTAAAACAGCAGAATCAGCCAATACAACCACTTCAACTAGAACTTAATAAATTTCAGTAGAATCAACCAATTTTTGTGTTACCAAACGGGCTCGTAGTCTAAGTGGTTATTTGTACTCCTTTTGTGTGTGATTGTTGTTTTCGTTTAACTTTCAGTCCCTTAATATGAAGTATCATTTTATATGTCTTATTTTCTTTTTTAGATTGTTCCAAAGTAAGTGTTATATTTCCTTTTTTGGAAAAAAATATGAGGTCCACAACATTTCTCTTTAATATATTCAAATCTCAACCACAACTCTTACTTTTCTCATCACTTTATTAATAATTGTGTCAAACCAAAACAAGACACAATGGGAAGTTGTAACATTCATGTAGACCTGTCCCCGGTTTCCGGTTTAATTGGAATCGGAACTGGAGCCAGAACCGGAACCGGTGTACGGCCAAGGTTCCGAACCTGCGGTTAAGGGAGGCGGTTCGGTTTTTGGGATTTTTGAGAACCGAAATTTTTGATTTTTTTAAAAAGTTTATTTCTATAAGTTATTAAAATAACTTTCAAAGATTTGTATGACATCTTTAATGTTTTTATATCATATATCATAATGTATGTCTTTGATTCACAAAGTATTGTTCTTATATCCTAATGTTTTAATTAAATACATATAAATATCCTAAATAAATATATTGTTTAATTTGATTCATCAAGCTCAGATTTATTGAAAATAAATAAGTTACATAGATTTGTATGACATCTTTAATGTTTTATATCACAATGTATGTCTTTGATTCACAAAGTATTGTTTTTATATCTTAATGTTTTAGTTAAATACATATAAATATCCTAAATAAATATAATGTTTTAATTTGATTCACCAAGCTCAAATATATTAAAAATATGGGTCATTAAATATATATAATGTTTTGAATATACATATTTGTTTTGACCATATATTATAAAATGAGTTTCGTTTTTATTTAATGACCAATAAATCCTCATAGCACAAAAAAGAATGCTTAATCTTCTCTAGAAATCTTATTTTGTTCTCAAGAATGTTTTCTTGGTGAATCTTAATTTGATTCACCAAGCTCATATATTATAAAATGAGTTTCGTTTTTTATTTAACGACCCTTATTAGATAATTTTATTATTATTATTATTATTTTAAATATAGTATATTAATTTGTATAATTGTCCCATAATTTAGATCGCCTACTAAAATGTCACACATATAAAGTTTACTAATATCATAATTTAGAAATAATTAACTAAAAAGTCATACACATAAAATTAAGCCTAATAATATTATGGACGCGTGAAAATTCGGCCTAAAAAGTTATAAATGACCGTGAAAATTCAGCCTAACAAACCGCAAATTTTAGTAAATAAAACAAAATAAGATATTCACTAAAGAAGCCCAAGAGAACCGGTTAAAATGAAAAATAACTTCAAATAGTTAAATAACTAAACTAAAATAGTGAATTTAATAAAAAAAAATAGATAAATAAATATACATTAAAATATATATACTAATAAGAAATATATATAATTATAATTATTATATATAACGGTTTCTTAATGGTTCCTTGTACATATTTTTTTCAGGAACCGAGAACCGAACCATTAATAAAATATAGGAACCGAACTATTAACAAATAATTAATAAATTTTGGAACCGAACCGAATCGAACAGGGGCATAACGGTTCGGTCCGGTTCTTGATTCCAAAGTCTCAGTCCTATCTCAAAATCGTCAGTTTTTATGTTTTTAAATATCTTTTTTAACATGTACTTTAACTTTTGCGAAGTATAAATGGTTTTGGAGCAATTTAAGACCATGAATTTGTCGTAGTAAACACATATCTATTGTTTTATATAGTAAAACACAGTTTTAAATAGCTGATGTGTCATCATCTTATTGGTTAAGAAAATTTTAATTAACACTATTATATTAAAACATTTAAAGAGGATGAACATAAGTAAATAGGCAGAAAAATTGGGAACGGGACGCATGTACAATACGACTAGAATAATTAATGAAGTTAATGCTTACAATCAGGACACAAATAAATTAATTGCTTCGACATTAGTAAATTTAATGTTTAATAAAATAAGTTTCGTTTTTATTTAATGACCCTTATTAGATAATTTTATTATAATTATTATTTTAAATATAGTTTATTATTTTAAATATAGTATATTTATTTGTATAATTGTCCCATAATTTAGATCGCCTACTAAAATGTCACACATATAAAGTTTACTAATATCATACTTTAGAAATAATTAACTAAAAAGTCATACACATAAAATTTAGGGAAATTTGTTGATTTAGTCCCATAATTAATAGCTTTATCCGATATTGGTCCTGTAACTTTATTAACTTGCAATTTACATCCCGTAACTAATAAGTTGGTGCAATTTTGGTCCTTCTCTGTCGAAACATACCAAGCCTATTATCGGATCTGCAAAAGAGGGGAAGAACATATAACTCTACCTGAAGATTTCTCCTGAACTAAGTCGAGAGAGTGAGTTATTATTCAAATCTGCTAGTAACGGCTCTCGCTCGGAGAAAAGTTTATGGAGTGTGTTTGTGGTAAAAGGGTTTCTCTTCTAACTTCTTGGACTGATAACGATCCTGGAAGGAGGTTTCGTGTGTGCGCTAGAAGCAGAGTAAGAAGTTCAGCCTTTTAATTTACATTGTTTGCTTCTTTTTTTACTAAATAAACTAGAAATTTAAGAATAACATTTGAATAATAAATTTGTTTGAAAATTAAAATGTATTTTATAATTTAAGCTAGGTTCTGCTAATAAAATTACCATCTTCTATTTGTTGGGGGCATTTGATAATGTATTTTTGTGTTCAAAGCAGTAAAAAGTAAGTTAAGCTTCATCTTGTTTTGATACAGACAGAAGGTTGCAGATTTTTTGAATGGGCTGACCCACCTATGTGCCATCGTTGAACGATGATAATTCCGGGATTGGTTAGAAGACTCAATTCAAAAGAGGAAGATGTTTTAAAGTTGAAGGCTAAAAATAAAAGGCTCCTCATAGTTGTTGTGGGGCTAGTGTTTTTGCTCCTGGTCTTTCTCATGTTAAAGATGTAAGAAGTCAAGATGATGTAACATTTCAAATGCTTTATTCTTAAAACATGAATCCAAAAAGCTTTAAACTTCATTCAAAATGCTCCTGCTGCAACCAAGAAGAAATAATTTTTTAACTCTAGCTAAGGACCAACATTGAGTCAACAAATGAGTTCCAAATAATATACCATGTGGTAGGTGATATGTCTTTTCCGGCGAAATTGGTAAGTTCCGGCAGAGAAAGACCAAAATTGCACCAACTTATTAGTTAGAGGATGTAATATGCAAGTTAATAAAGTTACAGGACCAATATCGGGTATAGCTATAAGTTACGGGACTAAATCAACAAATTTCTCTAAAATTTATTGACACCATGTTATAAATGAGCGTGAAAATTAAGCCTAATAATAATATGGACGCGTGAAACTTCGGCCTAAAAAGTT